CAGTGTAGAAACATAACATTTCTAACATATAGAAACATTTCTAACATTTATATGTTATTCTTCCACCCTTGTCCTCACCTTTGCTATAGCCTTCAATGAAGTATGTTAAACGCTTACTGTAAATCTCTTCCTGAAGTTTTCCCAATCAGCTCTTGGTTGAAAGTTATCACCTTGTAGATTCTTTGAGAAGGTTCATGAATACAGTATTCCTGGAGGTCCTGCATATTTAAACTGTATCTATGACTTTGGTACTTGAAGGACAGCTTGGTTGAATGTAAAATCCTGGCTTTCACTTTCTTCTCTTGAATTTCTTCAAAAGGCTGCTATATTTTTCTGTGGCATGGTATATTCTCTTGACAAGTTTGATGTCACCCTCATTTTCCTACTTTCAGTTTAGTCTTTGTGCCTACAGGCTATGAGAGTATTTTCTTTTATAGTTTTATTCAAATACATCTTTGAGTTGATTGTTCTGATTCCATTTTCCCAACTACTGATGGGCCTTTTCAGTATGTATAATCTGATCTTATTTTGTTGCCAGAGAAATTTCATAGTTTATAGTTTCAACTATTGGTTCTGTTCCACTGTTTTGTTTTCTTCAGAGACTCTAGATACATATGTCGGGTCTTCTTTGCCTGTCTTCCATTTCAAACACTTTCTCTCTAAACTCTCTTACTTTGTCTTTGTCTCTTCTGTCTTTTAGATCTTTCGTCTCTTACTTTGTCCCTTATTTTGTCTTTTTCTTCTCTTTCTTTCCTAAGTTCAATCAACTCTTTTTTTTCTTTTTCTTTTTCTCTCTCTCTCTCTCTCTTTTTTTTTTTTTTTTTTTTGGTTTGGTTTACTTCTAGTCTTATTTGAATTTCTGATTCAAAGTGGCTTCTCATGGAGCATCTGTGTGGCTCAGTCAGGTAAGCTCTGCCTTCAGCTCAGGCCATAATTCCTGGGTCCTGGGATTGAGCACCACGGAACCTGATTCTTCCTCTCCCCCTGCTTCCCAGCCACTTGTGCTTTCTCTCCCTGTTTCTCTCTCAAAAAATAAAATCTTTAAAAAAAAAAAAAAGTGGCTTTTCATATTTCCGAATGAATGTTAGAAGATATTTAAATCAGTTTGGAGTATTGTGTTAGTTTTCTTCTGCTTCATTGTTAGGTTTTTTGGGAATGATTTTTATCAATGAAAATGTCCAATTCTCATTTCTATTTTCTTCTAATAGTAGATTTATTTGGAGACTGCTTTTCTCTATTTTATAATTTCCTAGGCAGATTTTGTCCTGTAATAATTGACAGTAATCCTAGCTTAAGAAAGTCCTTTCTGTCACTGTAACAAAGTACAGCTTCTTTAATGAGTGGCACACTTTCTTTCTTTTTTTTTATCTTAGTGGTAAAGAGATTTGCATGTCCTTCAGTTTTGGGGTTCTCTTTTGTCTTGCAGTGGCACAAATTTATCCCTCTTGCTTCTTTTTCCTTTCCTTTCCTATCCAGTCTCTGACAGAGGTCGGATAAGTCTCTGACAGAGATCGGATATCCCTCTTGCTTCTTTTTCCTTTCCTTTCCTTTCCTATCCAGTCTCTGACAGAGATCGGATAAGCCTCTCCTTTCCCTCTTGATCAAGATTAGTGTCCCGCTAACTGATGCTCCCTCAGTTTCCATGACTTTTACATCCCTTCCTGATGGCAAATGCTCTGATCTACCAGGACACACTTAATATTTTTACACTTGTGATGTATTTTCTCTTCAGGGGATGGAGGGAGAATGATTTTAAGTCTATCTTGGGCCCTTCGTTTCCTCTTCTCTCTTCTTTACAGTTTTTCCAGATCCCACCCATTCCTGTATCTGCTCTTTGCAAAGGCTTATAGTGGAACCTTAAGAGAGATCTCTTCCAGAATTTGGAGTTTACTTTTCTACTTAAGTTTTTAAATTCCTCTGTCTTCCTGTTATTTTGCAAGCATTGCATTTATCTGGTTTTATTGTTCTGGTTGATTTCTACAGCTTTGAGAAAGCTATGTGAAAAGATTTGATTTAGACAGCTGCCATTATCCTCAGCTCTCTCAAAGTTCTCCAACATATACATCTTCACAAGCCATTTAGGTATAATGTGGAACAGGTTTGAGAACTTTGAGTAGGGGTAGAGGATAAGAAAGAAGGCAATTTAAAACAAATGGATTTTGAGATGATTCTATTTGTGTAGAGATAGTCATCAAACAGATAGTTGGTCTGTACCTCAGGTAAGATATTAGGAATTACTGCTTCTTACTCTGGTAGAGTCCCTAGTAAGCTGCGATTAGATCCATTAATCCCTTTGAGGAATTTCTGCCTTGGTCTAATTCCTGCCTGCATGCTCACAGTCATCTTCCAGGAATATATAAGGGCTTCAGAAAACAGGTACTATTTAGATGTTTCCAGATAAAGTACTATTTTCTGGTGCTTTGTTTCATCATATTCAGAAGTTTGGTTGATATGACTGTGAGAGATCTAATTATTATTCTGAGAACTCAATCACTAATAAGCCACTTGGGGAAAAAAAAGAAAATCTTAGATCAATAGATCAAATCATCTACCTATAGGGAAATAAAGTAGTACAGACTTAAATATCATAATTAAGCTTTTTGGTATATTCATAGTTTATTCCAGTAACCGTAGGGCTTATCAAGCTGGTTAAATTAATAAATCCACAAAGATTTATACCAATAACTTTCTAAAGCAAATTCCTAATTTCTACTGTTTTCTTCCCTGTCACTTAAAACTAGGCTAAAGAACGAATATATACATGTTTGTATCTAAATACATTTAAGAGAATAATATCTATGTAACAATTCAGTATAACTAATAGAGTTTTCAGAACTTAATCTGTGATGAATTTTCCATGTTTTTAAAGTGTGTATGCTTCCGTTTTCTCCCTTTCATAAGAGAGAGAATAAAATTTACAAAAAAAAATATATATAGCATTGTAGAATAGTTTAGTAATAGTCATTTACCCAGGCAAACACTTTTCTCAGTTGTGTATTCCTGTGGTGGCAAGTGAGTGTAGATGATTTCTTTCTCATTGAGACAATCTACAGATGGAAAAGATGTTAGTGAAGGAAAGGAAAAAAAAAGAAAAGGGTACTCATTTGAAACATGAGAAATTTAAAAAGTGGTCAACTCTTTCACTTGACATTTTTACTAAGACCCGGATTGTGCATTCTTTTGAATTAACTGAGAGGCAGCATAGCATAATGATTCAAGTTGGCATCTCTGGAATCTGACTGCCTGGGTTTGAACTCCGTATTAGCTTCATTTTGCCTTGATTTTCTCATCCACATAATTGAATAAAAATAGTACTTGCTTACAGAGTTTTTGATGCCCCCTTCAATTTTGCACCTGAAGGGAATGCCTCACTCACCTCACTAAAATCCTGGCCCTGAGGTCTGTTCTGCAAATCAGGAAAGTAAGGCTCAGCTCTTATTTGACCTTTGCCCAAGATCATGTGACTATTCAACACAAGAGATCTCAAACTCAGAAAGCCCTAACTCTGAAGCCCCACTCTTTCAACCCTTTGTTGTCTCTGCCAAATAAGCTTATCTACTACCACTTGGGCAGGTGGGAGCACCAAGCAACACGATGGGATTGCCAACAGAGATGTTCCTAAAGGACAATGCTAGTAATGGAAATGAGGAGAAAAAGAAGACAGATGGATTGCTAAACCCTTTTCAATGGTTATAATATAATAAAGATCTAATGTTAAAATAGGAATTGAAATAAGATGCTTTGGACAGATGGCTGAGGAACCTACTAAGTTAAATGAGAATTTCAGAATACAAGTGTTCATTGACATTGTCAGAGAAGCCATTTTTCTTGAAGTTAAGGAAGTAGGGAGGGAACACAGTGTGTTTAGGACTGTAGCATGGTATGAATGGGAACTTCCAGGGACAACGTCTAACAAATGATATGTAACAGTGGTTAATGACAATTAGGCATGTAGTTAAAATAAATTTCAAGACCAAGGAGCTCCTTGCAGATGGCATTATTAATTTTTATAGAGTATGACCATTCACTGCCTTAGTGGGAAAGAGCTATGTTAAGAGGTTGGACTTTACCACCTGCAAATGTAATGCTCAAACAGCATTAGGCTGCCACATATCTACTGTACTAGTCAAATGATTAAACTTTTAAAAATGAAAAAAAAATAGTACTTGCTTCATAGAATAGTTGTACAGATAAGATGTAATTTTCATAGGACAATGTTAGTTAAGTATTTTTAGTTCCTAGACTCATTTAGTTAATAATGTTGGCCTTATTTGTTATTTAATATGCAATCCGATCGCCACATAATTCATGAGTGGGTGAGGCAGGACAGAAAAATTAAATATTTCCATGGAAATCTAGATGAAAGAAAGCATTCATGAAAAATTAGAGAAACCTGTCTTCTTTTTTTGTGCTTTTTATTTTCTTTGGGAAATTTAAGGATCTGTTCTTTCATACATGTAAAAGCTAAGAGCAATAAATGATGAGCTAAAAAGATGTTACTCTTTGTAATGGCTGCTTTGTTCTACAGTCCACATTCACTCCTCCGTCTCTCCACCAGGGGGAAGTATAGTACTTTGTATGTGTCTTGTTCTCAGGTCTTTCTAGTTCTCCAAATCCCAGGGGTGAGGAAGGAAAAGATAAACACTGAATGTGAGAGTATGAGATGTTCCTTAGCTGGATTTTACAGCACCATATTTTAATCATTTACTTGAGGATAATGAAAATAGACTAGACAAGGTTTCTTTCCACAAATCCTTTAATTCAACTGAGGTAAATGCAGACCTATTATAAGAAATATGTGAAATCTTTGCAGTAGCTGGAAGAACCACATTAAGCCGACCAAATTCCCAAAATAATGTTCAAATGTTTTTTGGGTATATTTAAAAGTAATTGATGGAAATAAGCCTTTGGCACCCTGAGTAAATCGGTTTCATGTACGACAAGACTGTGAGAACATTGTCCTTGATCACTTAACTAAGCTGAGTCATCTTATTTTCCAGGTGTAACATTGTGCTGCAAGTCAGTCAATACAGTAATTTAAGTCCTGTCAACTATAATGGAAAAGTATGAAAAATTAGCCAAGATTGGAGAAGGGTCCTATGGCGTTGTATTCAAGTGCAGAAACAAAACCTCTGGACAAGTGGTAGCTATTAAAAAGTTTGTGGAATCTGAGGATGATCCAGTTGTTAAGAAAATAGCACTAAGAGAAATACGGATGTTGAAGGTAGGTTGACTTTCTCTGTATATCTATAACATCATGGTACTGGAAGACCTATGTATGCCAAAATTACAATTTCAATGAATTTTAAAGTGATTTTTTTTCTCATTGGACTTAAATTTCTTGGTATCAGCAACTATGGAAAATAAATTGATTATTACTTTGGACTTGGCAGTTCTGATATTGAAGTACCTCTATTCTGGTTGGTAAATATTCACTGTCCTAAGTCCTTCAGCCCAGTGTTTGCCCTCCCTGTCCCCTTCCTTGGCCTTTCTCTGCCCATCCCCCTCCCAGATCCTTCTCCCCACAAACCAGCAACTAGAAGAACATCTCCTGGCACAGGAGCCCACAGGACTGTACCGGTGCCCCTGTAGGCATCGAGATGGAGTGGTCCTTCCTGCTCTCCACTGGTTCTTAGGCATATTAAGTATCTCCCCCATCTATGTATACACATTTTCCACAACGATTTTGTTAGTTGTTTTGTTTTGTTTTAAGTAAGCTCTATGCCCAATGTGAGGCTTGAACTCAGGACCCAGAGATCAAATCACAGTCTCTACAGACTGAGTCAACCCAGTAGGTACCCCTAAAGTTGTTTTTACTCTGAAAGGATTTGACATGTAACATTTGTAGGTCTTCAATGTAAATGCTTTCCTATCCTAGAACTCTTCTGTTTAGACCCATAAAAGAACTGGGGATGCTTCTCATCCAGCATCCTTATCTTATCAGAGAAGAAAGTGAGGCACAGACAGCACTTCTCAAACATTAATGTGGAGAATTAATGTGGGAATTCCCCAGGGGACTTTGCTAAAACGCAGATTCTGAGTCAAAGGTCCATGGTCAGCCTGAGATATGGCATTTCCAGCAAACTGCCCGATGGCAAAGAAGGTGCTGGTAGACCACACTCTAAATAATAAAAGTGTGATTTCCTCAAGAACACACAGCTGACATTTACTTTCGACGTGGGTCATCTTTTTTTAGGAAAACCCCAGAAATCGGTTTTTAGGGGAAGATAATAATGATCATATTATCTGTCCTTCTAAGTATTATTTGCAGTAGGTTTCCTCAAACTAATAGTAGTTTAAAATATAAGTTAGTATACATGGGGTTTTCAAGAGCACATCCATCATGAAAACCGGTCCGCTGTTACCTCACAGCCCGCAGAGGGCGCTGGTTAGCCAGCCAACTCTGTCCCAGCGCTAAGCTACAGGGTGTGTCTGAACGCGCTGTGCGTTGTTTTCCAATACTAGCAATGATTTTTGTCCACCACCTCCCTCCTCTTCAAGACTGCAAGGAAGGTTAACGCTCAGGAAGTACCTCCCGGGTCACAATGCCCAAATGTAAGAATGGACATTAAGGTAAAAAGTAGCCAGATTCCACTTCAGCTTGGTGCCTGGTGATGGTTCTCTTAACGTACCTCTTGCCAGCTTTGATATGTTACACGCTGCAGGCCCTGAGCAGACTCCTTCCGTGATAGATTTACCTAACCTTCCTCACATCCTCCTATTATTTATTTAAATGTGATTTGATTTCTGTCCTCCTTATTACCTGCTTTACTTATATAAGGCACTCTTTCTCTGGGCTAAGTTGATTTCGTTTGCAAAGGGGATACAAATTGCTTATCTACCCAAAGACAGATTTGACCAGGCTAGCATCTACGAATCCTGAGCTCTCCTGGTAAAGACACTGTTTCACTTCCGTCGTGTGGTTTTCAGTGTAGCACAAAGCCCCTGGCTTACCTGTGTGAACTGTTTCCTCCATTTTGCGTTTCTGCTCTCGGCAAATCGATTTTGTGCTCTAGGCATATTTTTAATATGTAATAGAGTCCTTTTACCCAAACTGTTGAGCACATAGTCGCAAGGTAATTTTTTCCCCCTCACACCATGTTTACAGATACTAAAGTAAAGGATGCTATCAGTCTTGGGCCTGCAAAATATTTATGCAGCTCTCACTATATGCAAAATACTGTGTTCCCTCTATATAGATATCCCCCCTGAGTAAGTAGTATAGGGTTTGAAAAGTGATGTATCTAATACACCAGGGAAAAAACAGGGAAAGTGAGTTATATATAAGTGGGAGTGATCAGATATCCTGGCTTATAGCTTTTGTCCCAGAGTCCAGTCTAATTAGCACCCTCTTTCGAAAGCCTCCTGGTTTGTATGCTAAATTGTATGGTCACCCTAGACTTAGGCAGGGTGACTATATCCCTGTTTGCCTGGGACAGTCTTGTCTAATACTCCGTACCCTAATAGGATGGTAAATTATATAGTTACTCTATGGTAGGTTATCTTACATAATTAGAATTTTTCCTCTGGTTTACAACATTAAACGGAGGCTGCCTGTGAAATGTTTCATCTTGAGATAGAATTTAATACATAAAAGAAATCTAAGCATAAGAGAAAACAATAGAATCAGACAACAGAGCTGAAAATATAAACAAATTAAAAATATACTGTAGGGACTCAATAGGCAATTTAATCAGATTTGGAAGTTGGGATCTAGTATTTCTGAGAGCCAACACTAAAATCCAGACTCTGTTTAAACCTCTTGACATTTATATTAAATCCGTGGCAATATGCAGGCTAAATGGGGATTGATAATTTTTATAGCCTTTTACTCAATAACTCCATCTCCTCAGTTTTTTATCCAGGTTCCTTTATGACTTGGATATTTAGAATTTTCACTAAATCCATAAAGTATTTATGGTATCAGTGCCTATATTTTATGTTGTGTGCTTTACTTGCTGTCTCCGGAGAGATTCAAGCAGTTTAATTACCATCTGTTACAGGTACATTAGAAGGAGAAGAAGAAAAATGTCTCCTTTTTTTTTCAACCTTAAGTGTCTATGATTCTTACTAAGAGTAGTTTCTCTTGTGAGTAACTATAATAAAATTATCCACAAGAGATGCACAGAGAATGATAAACAAGGCCTTCTGTTGTTTAAACTGTAGGGATCTGAGGAAAAACTATCAGGAAAAACAAATCACTGAACTTTTATTTCAATTCCTTTGCAGCAATTAAAACACCCAAACCTTGTGAACCTCATTGAGGTGTTCAGAAGAAAAAGGAAAATGCATTTAGTTTTTGAATACTGTGATCACACACTTTTAAACGAGCTGGAAAGAAACCCCAAAGGGTAAGTAATCTGGAAACTGAAGCTCTGTATGGCTACTCGATTTCATTATATGTGAAATTAACTGTAGCAAATTTCAGATCTGAAGCACACTTCTCTTTCTACCAAGATGCATCTTCTGGCTATCCCCTCCCATCTTAGTTAGGATGTGCTCAGAGGGAAACAAATATTAACCTAGAGTGAAAACATTAGGAAAACAAATCAACTGCAGATACAAATCATAATACATTTCGAGGCTAACTTGTGTACAGGCTTACCTTGGAGATATCGCAGATTTGGTTTCAGATCACTGCAATAAAACAAATATTGCAATAAAGGGAGTCAAATTTTTTGGTTTCCTAGTGCATGTAAAAGTTGTTTACACTATATGGTAGTCTATTAAGTGTACGATAGCGTTACATCTAAAAAAAAGTATATACCTTAATTTAAAAATATCATATTGCTCTAAAAATGCTATCATCTGAACTTTCAGCGAGTCATGATCACTGATTGCAGATCAGCATGAAATACAATAATAATGAAAAAGTATGAAATATGAGAATTACCAAACACAGAGATTCAAAGTGAGCAAATGCTATTGGAAAAGTAACAACCTTTCCTTCAGGATGTATTTAGCAGCAAGGATTCTCTCTCTCTGTCTCTCTTCCCCTCTCTGTCTCTTTTTAAGTTTTATTTTTTAAGTAATCTCTATTCCCAACATGAGGCTCAAACTCATGACCCTGAGACCAAGAGTCTCACACTCTTCCACCTGAGCCAGCCAGGCGCCCCCACAGGGATCTCTGAACTACCCACTTTTCACTCTTTTTGAGTCTTAAAAGTGTGTAAGTGTATTTTTAGTCTTATAAGTGTATACATGTGCTTTTGGCCCACCTGAGACTTGGATTTACATAGGGGAATACAACTAGGAACAGTGCAGAACATGCCACCCTTTTTATGAAATGCCAGGTACTTCCATATAACAGTGATTAATTTAGAACATCCACCTGCCTCCACTCCCTTCCTAAAACCTACTTGAATAATAGCCAAGAGAGTGTAAACCCTGCGAATAGCAAACTGAGGTAAACAACCAGACTGCATACATACCAACCCTATTTGAGCCCTTTGTTTATTGGGGGTAAATTCACAGTTTGGAGCAAACACTGGTGTGAGATATGAGACAATCAACCTAGAGGACATGTGGGATGAGCTGTGGGGTGGTGAGCTGAAGATCAAGAGACCCGAGGACTCAATTATCTCATTCAGAAGATCTGATTTAACACCAAGATGGTGGAAGTGTACTGCTACCTGCCCGATGAAACCTTTGGTGTCCTCTACTTTTTGGATAGAGAAGAAAAGCACTTGTTAGATCAACAGCTGAGTGCTGAGTACTGACACTGTGTTGGATTTGCTCAAGCAAAGAAACTGCATGTATGTGCAGCAGCCGAAATTGGCATCACCTGATTAAACTTAAAATGATCTATTCCCATTCTCTAAGACCCTCTGAGTCCTACAGTAAGTACAAAGGGTAAGTTAATTAGTAATGTGACAGAAACTGCCTCCCTGCCGGAGGAAGGATTTTCCTTCCCGTTGCACTATGTATAATGGAATAATCCCTCCTTCAAGAAGCTTAGGATCTAATGAGGAACCAGAAATACAAAGAAACAATTATAAGCGATTATAGCGTTATAAAACTAACAGGTTTACCAAACTTCAGCTGTCCACTCCACTTCTGGCTGATAGGAGCATGTTATACACACCCATAAGTCAGACTTCAGCTTAATTTTAGCTTTATTGAGGTATAATTGACATATAAAAGGTTTGAATTTCTCTCCCAGTTAACTGTTCATAGAAAATTTCCCGTAAGACAGGGTGTGGTTTGGTGGAAAGATGGCCGTGAATCATGAGTACTGAGAAGTACATTAGTGAGGGTTGCACAAGCAGCACGTCCCAGATTATCCTTTCTTTGAAATGGCTTCCTGATTTCAGTGGGGATCATGGGATCCCTGGATGACAGAGGCCAAGTGGTAGTTCTTCATTTTGAGAATTGCGGTGACAGGCAACAGAGCCATAGTGATGATCAAAATGGTTTAATTGATTATACGTTCTCTCGAACCAAAACAGATGGGCAGATCACTAAGGTTCTATTTTTCTATAAAAACTAGTAACTAGAGGCTTAACTTGTGTCACCACAATAGGCAGTTCACAGAACCCGGGCCTTGTGACTTAAGGGAAGATGGCTTTCCTTGAGGAGTGGACCGGCAATAACATCACACATCCGCACTTAATTCTTCCTCTGAGCCTGCCCCAAAGTACTCTGCAGCCATTCACCAGAACACGTGCTGGGAAAAGAAAAATAGCCTATCTTTCAGGAATTAATGGCCAGGCTCTGAGGTAAAACCAGTCACCAATGACCTTAAAAGCCACTGAGGTCAGTTTGGGGGTAATGGGGAGCAGGAAGCAGGAAGTGTGGTGGTGAATGAAATCTTGACTCAAATCCACCTCACCGAAGTCCTAGTAGGTCCACAAATCCATCCTTGAGATTATTTCCCCCTTTCCTAACTGGATAGTTGAGAGAGATACACCAGCAGATGGAAGAAGAGCCAGCTGGCTCTGGGCCAAGGAATGAAAGCTACCATGGTAGGAAGAGCCCAGTGGAAGGGGCTGCTGTGCTGCGTTTTCTTTACCAAACTAGAAAACCAAAAGCCATACTACGCGTCTGGGGAAGAGCAGGGCTTGACGCTGTGAGGACCTTGAGGAGGCACAGCTGGGAGGTAGGTGAGCTTGATGCGTACAAAAAATCCTCTCCAACGCTCATATCGCCTCGGATCTTTGGATCTCCTCCTCCTCATTTTACTAATGAATTTCTGGCGTTCAACTTCAATTGCCATCGGCAACCATTAGTCAAGTTTCAATCACCAGTTTAGCAATCAGCTCGACTCATTGCTAGCTGCTCCAGGTAGTCTGGTGAAACTGGAATCTCTAGGAAGTGCACCCATAGTGTTACAATCGGCCCAGGCTGAACTCTATTTCTTCCTCTCTGGTCCTACGTCAGTGAAATCCATGCTCACAGGCATTCCCCATTGTAAATTAGCAGCATCTCAGAGTCCTTTTTGCCGTGTAAACCTTTTCCTCTGTTTGACTTTGTAGCAGGCCCCCTGAGACATGCTGGACTATGACTTTAGTTAAGGTTTGGAGACCTCTCAAGGTCTGAGAAGAATCCCCGTGCGGCACAGCTACTCAAGTGAGAGCATTAGAAAGTTCTCATCAAGGCAAAACCAGCCTCATCATTCGAGTTGGGGGACTGGTTTGCCTGAGACGGGATGGTTGGTGGGAGCTGGGGTGCTCTCAGTTTCATGAACACTCCCGAGGGTCACATTTCAATTCTTGAGGTATAGGCAGCTCTTTCTCAGTTAATTAACTGAGAAATTAATTAACCTCACATAAGTTAAATTTGTGTTGTCACTTAGCACCCTGCAGGATTATTCTCCGTGTTTGATTCTTCAGTCATTTCACGTTATTCTTATAGGTCCATGAAGTGAGTCCTATAGATACAAGCAATAACGGGTTCTTTTACGGCGAGCATTGAAACTTTCGTTTTCCTAACTGTGTGTTGAACAAAGATATTAGAGCCCTAACCCTGTCCTTCTTAAATTTTCATTAAGTTAGAGCCAACCCGCCCTACTTTTCTTGTATTATTTATGTTTCCCATATTGTTCTGTCACATTCAGTGACAGGCTTGCCTTGAGTAGGCATTTTACTCCAGATGATGACAGATGATTTAACAACTAGTTCATCTCTGGGTGCCTATCTACCAGCTAGTTGAGTCCCTAATGGTAGTTAGTGATTAAATCAGATAGCCAATCCCCAATCCCCAAGGCCTTAGTTCCTGGCCCACATCCACTTCTGGTATCGCATTCTGAACGGTTCAGGATTCCACAGGAGAATTCACTCCAACTGGCTTAAGCAGAAAGGGATTTATGACAGGGTGCTAGTTTATAATTTCCGAGAGTGCCAGAGAAACGCGCTTAGTGAAGTAGCTACTAGATACCAGGTACCACCCTCGACCCCAGAGCTACACTAGTGAACAAGACAGAGTCCCTGAACTGAGCCCTGAAATGAAGGAAGGCACAGGGAGGGGTCAGAGAATGCCTCGGGAGGGGAGGAGAAGGAACAATAAACACAAAGATCTGGAGGCGTAAACAGGCCGGGCCTGCTCAGGGAACGGAAACCAGTGGGGCTGGGGAGGAATATCTGTGGGAAGACGGGAGGGGACAGAAGGGAAGGAGGTTAACCCAAGTGACCACGTGAAGGGGCTGGCAGACCTGAGACAAGGTTGGCTTGTAGTCTCAGATAGCAAGAGTTTACTGAGGACTCATTTTGTCTGGGGTATGGACAGTGGACATCAGGTTTTCCCATGGTGAAGTCATAAACGAATTAAGGCAAAGATGAGGAGTCCTGATGGCAGCAGCAGCATCCCTCCAAGTGACAGAGCACAGCCCCTGAGCAGTCCGGTCTGAATTCCCCCATCGTGACCCCCTCCTTCGTCTTGCGCCAGGACATCTAGTGTTTGCTCTCAGGCCTTCACTGCTCCTTGCAGTATTTGTCTCTGCCCTCACCCAGCGTCTAATACTTGAACACTGAGGGGCGGCTGACTTCTTCTGAAGCTTTTATTTCACCCCAAAACACTTTGAAACCTGCTGCCTGTGGCTGAAACGTGTTGCAATCCTCTATCTTTCTGGAATGAGCCCTGTGCGAATCTGTCTTCTCTCCGATAACTATCTTTTCTTTATAAGATCGGTGGTATGTGTTTGTAGACGGTATTTTGTACAGATGTTGTGTTGCCTGTGATGGAACCTGTCTTCTGGGAATCGGAGCTCTTCTGTTCCGAGCAGAGCCGTGACTCATCCCGGGAGATGCCACGAAGCAAATGTTTCTCTTCCACAGCAAGAGTTCAGGACTTTGCTACAGCATTCGTTCATGTCCAAATCGATGTTATTAACATAGAAACTTCAGTTCCACCAGTCTCTGAACCCTCACCCTAACTCGTTTCCTGATTCCAGGACTTGATCCCCCCGTTCCTGCAGTGCTTGGATCCCCCCCAGCATTCCATGTCTACATGAATCGGGCTCGTGTTTCGCTTGCAGGCTCTTGCAAGACCTGAAATCCATTTCCCTTCCCTCCACCACCACCGCTCTAACCAACATCACCACATCTCACCTGCATTGTTAAGTCAGCTGCCTCATAAACCGTCCTGTCTCCACTCAGCGTGCAGAAATCCACTCTCCATATTCTGCCACTTGTCTTCTTGAGTCCTTTCAATGACTTTCCTTTAGACTACCTACCCAGATCTGTAAGGCCCTCCATGGTTTGGGCCCTGCCAGCCTCACCAACCTCTTCACTCATGCTTTGGCCACACTGGCCTCCTAACTGTTGCTCCCACATACCCGTTCTTTCTCACCTTGGGGCTTTTGCCATTCTCATGGGGGTCTTCTCGTCCTTCAGGCCCATCCACTGGCCTCACCTGATCTCAGACCCTCATTTCCTAAACCTATGGAGATATGAAAACCCAGACTCTCAGGAGATAGTCTTTTTTTTTTTTAATATTTTATTTATTTGACAGAGAGAGATCACAACTAGGCAGAGAGGCAGGCAGAGAGAGGGGGAAAGCAGGCTCCCCACTAAGCAGGGAGCCCGATGTGGGGTTCGATCCCAGGATCCTGGGACCATGACCTGAGCTGAAGGCAGAGGCCTAACCCACTGAGCCACCCAGGTGCCCCTCTCAGGAGATAGTCTTAATGAACTTATGTGGCATTGTTCCATCTGTACACATGAGGAAAACTGCAGGCACAAATAACTTACCCAAGGTTCTAAAACTTGGAAGCAGCACAGCTGGGATTTGAACTCTGCCTCATAGGGCTCAAAATGGCTATACTCATCTTTTTCTTATAAAAACATTAAAGCAATGTTGTCTGTGGCATGGCTAGGCAAAGAGGGGAGAAAGATCAGGTTTATCAGAATTCAGGTAGGGGCGCCTGGGTGGCTCAGTCAGTTAAGCCTCTGCCTTCAGCTCAGGTCAGGATCCCGAAGTCTTGGTTTTGAGTCCCGTATTGGGCTCCCTTCTCAGTAGGGAGCCTGCTTCTCCCTCTGCCTCTGCCACTCCCTCTGCTTGTGCTCTCTATCTGTCTTTCTCTCTCTGTCAAATAAATAAATTAATTAAATTAAAACAAACAGCCTTAAAAAAAAAAAAAGAATTCAGTGCAGGAAATAGAAATGGCTCTAGACACTTCTAGCAGAAAGAGATTTAATATTGAGAATTTGGGGCTTTCACAATATTAGTAATACTTAATAATTAGAAGAGCTGGAGTCAGGGACGCCTGGGTGGCTCAGTTGGTTGAGCGGCTGCCTTTGGCTCAGGTCATGATCCCAGTGTCCTGGGATCGAGTCCCACATCGGGCTCCTTGCTCGGCGGGGAGCCTGCTTCTCCCTCTGCCTCTGCCTGCCTTTCTGTCTGCCTGTGCTCGCTCGCTCTCTCTCCCTCTGTCCCTGACAAATAAATAAATAAAATCTTTAAAAAAAAAAAAAAAAGAAGAAGAAGAAGAGCTGGAGTCAGAGGGCTGCCACCAGACCACAGGATATCAGGACTGTGCCGCCATAACTGTGACCTGAAGTCAGAAAACTGCCCTGAGGAAAATCCTTCCACACACTGTTGTTGTTTCTCAGCAAGTACTGCAGATTTGCACAGTGAGGTATTGTATCTGGTTCGATGCCCAAGTCACACACAGGCTGTCCCACGCCTCTATGAGACCAGCATCACCTGCAGGATGAGTTTAATTTTTAAAAAGCGATCTAAACATATGATTTAAATTTCCAAATATGATAAAACATTAAGGCCGAGTGATGGCTATGTTTGGAATATTAGATCATTTGAAACTTTTTAATTAAAAAATTCTTACAGTAGACACTTAGCAAAAGACATCTTGTGTTTCAGATTTTCGAAACTATACAAACAGCCACCCCATCCCCACAAACACAGTTGAAAAACAACGCGTGGGTAAAAATATGTGCAGCACATATGCAGACTCTGGTATATAATGAGTCTTCATGAATCAGTTTTAAAAAGGGTAAACAGACCCCAGTCAAGAAAGACATAAAGACCATGAACACGAAATACTCAAAAGAAGACATGTCATGTCCAATAATCATGTGAAAACAAAAGTCGCTAATAGTGAAATGTCAACGAAAACCAAAATGAGCTATCTTTTTATTTTAACCACAGTCTGACGAACAACAATGGTAAAACCAGATGTCGGCAAGACAGTGAGGAGATAGGGACTTGAACGCACAGAGGTTCGGTGGGCAATATGCAACTGAAGGTGCCATCATGGGACAGTGATGTGAGCCATGGAAAGGCATCAAGGGAAAGTTAAAGGGAATGTAATTGCTATAATTTATAGAGATGGTGACACCAAGTAGACTACTCCCAGACAAATGTGAATTGCCCAGATCTCCAATTCCCCAGTGAAAAATACCTTCCAGTATTTCCAAGATCCTGCAGGAACAAGAAGCACCCAGCCTCTCATTCTCATGGGACACGGGTTCTCCCTGGCCTCCCCGGCTGCGCACCTGCCTGCTCAACAGGTGTAAGAAACTTACACAACTGCAGTACATACTCGAGTGTGTTTCCAAATTGCTGGAAGTCAGTCTTTAAGTATGCCTTCCTCCCTGAAAAACCAGGTTTTAGGTCTATCTGAAGGTCACATCTGCAGGATCAAAATTCAACATGTGCCTACCATTGGTCCTAGAAATCCCACTTCTAGAACTTGCCTTAAAAAGATAATGGCACAACTGTAGTAAGATGGATGATTATACATATTTTGTTTCTAGGAACGAAATTGAGTCAACCTAATTGTTCACCAGTGGGAACTAACTAAGTAGATTATGACACATCCCTGTAATGAGACCACGAAATAGACGTAAACGCATTAGTACTTATACCTCTACACATATATATGCTTCCTGAAAGAGGAGGGGGAAGTTGCAGAGAATGAAATGTGTGACTAGCCAGCTGTGAGAGACAGTTCTTCATGGATATACTCTTTAAATTTTAAATTTATACTCTAAATTTTGAGCCATATGAATGCATTTATTTAAAATTAAAGGAACATCTGTGTGGCTCAATCTGTTAAGCATCTGACTCTTTCGGCTCAGGTCATGATCTCAGGGTCGTGAAATCGAGCCCCACACTGGCCTTTGCACTGGGCATGGAGCCTGCTTAAGATGCTCTCTCTCCCTCTCCCCCTCTCTAAAAATAAATTGAAGTTAAAAAGTAAATGCAGAGGAAAAAAAGTAATAAATGCAGAGAGAGACAGAGAGAGGGAAAGAAACAGAGGTGCCTGCCTGAAGAGAAAGTTTGGGGTAACAAGTTCTGAGTCAACACTTTCTACTCCTTTACTTTGCAAGACTGTTTGGATTTTTGTGATAAGCATATACTATTTCTACAGATATCTAAAATTTTCTAATTACAAAAGAAAATTATGTATCTATAATGAAAACACAGTAAACCAACTTCCATGAACACGTGCAAAAAAAATATCCCCAGCACCCTTTGCACCGTGTTTGTTGGCCACTGCAGGCCCTCACCCACTGCATTTCTGTGCCCAGCTCCTGTTCCTGGCTCCCCTTCTTAGGAGTTTTTATTTCCTTTTTAATTTTCTTTCCCCCAGAGTTGCTGATGGAGTGATCAAAAGTGTATTATGGCAAACACTTCAAGCTCTTAATTTCTGTCATAAACATAACGTAAGTAACATTTTCCAACATATTTGTTAATGTCTTCTTTTCTTCTAAATAGCTCAGGGATCACCTTAAAGAGCTAAAGATGGAGGGAAAGGAAGAAAGTCACAAAATATGAGAAACGTAATCCATGGCTTTTTTTTTTTTTTCCAATTTCCCTGAAAACCAAATATTCCTTATGAATTAGAAGCTTGTGTGAACTCAGTGTTCCTTCTGCCCATGGCACTTGGTTTGATTTTGTTTTTATGTTTTTTGAGTCTTTTATTCTCCAACAGGCCCCCTTCCTCTATCCTTTAAAATATATATATATTTAGCATTAGTTTTTTAGATCCATTGTTCTCAAACTTGATCATGCATCAACACCCCTGGAGGTCTCATTAAGATACGGTTTGCTGGGCCCACCCGCAGAGTTTCTAATTCCATAGGTCCAGGGTAGGGCCCCAAGAATTTGCATTTCTAACATTTGCCCAGTTAATACTGAAGCTGCTGGTCCAAGAAACACACTTTGGATACTACTGTGTTCTAGAAATCATTGCAGCTGATTGTTTTGTATGTGTTATTTAACTTGTTCTTTCACCTGTATTTCCAGTAAATTAGTCTTCGTGTCTAGAGACTTGATCATTTCGGGTTCAGTTTTTCAGACAAGAATATTTCATATGTAATGCTGTACATGTCTTCTTGCGTCAACATCATGAGGCATATGTCAGCTTGTCTCACTTTTGATCATCTTGAAATAGAGTAGTGGGTTTAAGAGCTATTAGTTTGATCCTCTCCACTATGAATTTCCTGGTCAACCTTTTTACTTGATGACTTTAGCCTTCATTGATGATGACTGCCTGTATCTAGTATTTCATTAGGGTTAAAAGACGGTGATTTTCAAATTCTATTATCTCTTCTGCATTTATTAATTTTAATTCTATGGAGAAGAACCCACCCTGATGGACTGTAAAATATACTGTAAAATATACTATTCAGAATGATAAGTTCGTATCTTAGCAGCCTCCAAGAGTGAACAATGAAGGTTTTAGAGGAATGTAAGCATCATTACAAATTTATAGATCTTATACATTTGATGTATTTCAATCCTTTGCAATCATGGTTCTCTCTGATGTTCAAATTGTCCCATCTTGGGCCAATGGGAGCTTCTTTAAGTTGGTTTCTGGGGAATCATTGCTATAATGATAGTTTTTAAAAAATAACTCTAGACCTTTTGAGTTGGTGCCTAGAGAGAGGCAGTACCTGGGCAGGGATACAGGCTACCAATATGGTCAGTTTTGATGCCAGCAGAATGTCTATCATAGTCTAGGATTGCTGGAAAAGAATGCAAAATCATGGAAATAAATTTCAATACTTAGAGGAAGCTTCCCTTAGTTTTAAGAAAGTCAATGAAGAGTTTGTTAGGAACAATCAAAAGCTTACATTTTCTATTAGTAAAGTATTGAGCTGGGGCACCTGGGTGGCTCATTCGGTTAAACATCAGACTCTTGATCTCAGCCCAGGTCTTAACCTCAGGGTGGTTAGTTCAAGCCCCGCATTGGGCTCAATGCTGGACGTGGAGCCTACTTAAAAAAAATAAAAATAAAAAATATTTTGTTCACAAGATACATAAGCCTGGTCTTCATGATGCAAATGCTTTCAAATACATACTAAAGATGACACTGAATTAAAACCACATCTCTGGGGCACCTGGGTGGTTCAATGGATTGGGCCGCTGCCTTCGGCTCAGGTCATGATCTCAGGGTCCTGGGATCGAGTCCCGCATCGGGCTCCCTGCTCAGCAGGGTGTCTGCTTCCCTCTCTCTCTCTCTCTGCCTGCCTCTCAGTCTACTTGTGATCTCTCTCTGTCAAATAAATAAATGAAATCTTTAAAAAAAAAAAAACCACATCTCAGGGCACCTGGGTGGCTCAGTCAGTTAAGCGCCTGCCTTCAGCTCAGGTCATGATCCCGGGGACCTGGGATTGAGCTCTGCATCAGGCTCCCCACTCAGCAGAAAGCCTGCTTCTCCCTCTCCCTCTGCTGCTCCGCTGCTTGTGCTCTCTCACTCTCTCTCCCTTTCAAATAAGTAAATAAAATCTTTTTAAAAATTAATTAAACCACATCTCTGTTTCTTTCTACCATGTTATCAGAAGTATTAAAGCTTACCTAAGGTTCTTGTAGGAGTCTTATGGGTAATTAAAATTATTTTTTGAAATTCTGTATACCATAAGTGTTTGTCCTTTATCTCTGTAGTCAGACACTTTCCTCTGTACTGGGTTATACACTTGAATGCAGTGTCTGTGCTGATTTCTCTTTGTATCTCCTCAACACCTAGCATGGATCTTTTTATATAAATATTTATTGAATAACTGGATGAATGAATGAATGAGTCATACAACTTACCTACTAGTTGTGACTTACTATTCCCACCAGACCCAAACATTATTAGAGCTCAATGCAACTGCCATCATTTCTCTCCTCAGAACAACAGGTTCTGTATCTTAAGTTTTAAAGCCTCCCGTTGATAATCCATGACCTCTATTAAAAAAAGGATAATTTTTCAGATGAACTTCCCTCCTCCAACATGGGAATTATTTCTGAACTCTGGTTATGCTATGGTTAGCCTAAAGTGCATGCAAAGGAAAAAATTTAGGTCAGATGAAAGCTGTTACAACACTACATCTAAAATCTTTATCCTCTCCTTATTTTTAAAGGAACCCTCATGATATTCTCAATAGAAAAGGCAATCTGCCCCAATGGCGTTGCTGAAAATTCACAGCTTTCAACCTATGGAGACCATGACTACCTTATTCTCTCCAGAGTGGTGATCCTAACCAAGACAAGGAAGGTTAAAGTAATAAGGGATTAAGGTCTTATTAATAGAGACCACCTGGAAGCTCATTAGAAATGCAGAACCTCAGGCCCACACTAGATCTACTGAATCAGAATCTGCATTTTAACAAGATCTCCAAGAGATTCATATGCTTATTATATTTGAGAAGCACTGGACTTAAGAAAGTCCAGTTCTTTCTTTTTGTTCTTTCTTACCCTCTAACATTGCTAGAATGAGTTAACTAAAGTGACCCATTTAGTGTCATTATGAACTCGTGGATTTGTGTATACCTGATATATGAGACAAAAAGAACTTCCTCTCAAAATGACAAAATTGCAGTGACTTCCAGGATGTGCGTATCAGGCTGCAACATCCATCATTATCTGGTTAATACTAATGTTCTGGTTGTGAAGAAGGAAGTCCTTTTCCTCACTGCTGTATCGGTATCCATCTCTAAAGCTCAAAGAGGACAACCTTCTGAGATAATAGAAAACTATTATTTAGGAGTGTCTGGCTGGCTCAGTTGGTGGAGTGTGCGATTCCTGATCTTGGGGTCGTAAGTTCGAGCCCCACGTGGGGTGTAGAGATTACTTTAAAAGTAAAATCTTTAAAAAAGAAAAGAAAACTATTATTTGATCAGGTTGTACAAGAAGCAATTTGTGAAAGTTCTGGAATTTCTTAAAGTTGAGGGTCAACCTCTTCTTATTGACTTGCGAGCCATTAAATATGAGATTACACATTAGCCAAAATAACCCAACTTGAACAATATTTTCTAAATGCTGTGTATGCAACCCAAGTTATTTTAAAAATTAAAAAAAAAAAAACAAACCTGCTTCTGTCACACTGACTTGCAGGTTTTTTGGTCTTTGGTGTAAAGCAAGCTGATTGCCAGAGGCACCGTGAGTGCGCACTGAGCACAGCTTGGCAGCAGAGAAAGCGAATGCGGTATGACTAAGCGTCTGCCGTTCTCCGTGCTTGACTTCCTACTGTTCCAGGCAGTTTTGCCCTCTTTAGCTTTCTTCAGTATCCTCTTCCCCTCTATCAGTAGCTTCTCTTACCTGTACCTACACCAGTAATTTTTCTGTTTCCTTGGGAAACATCAGTACTTGATTTGACTTTGTGGGTTTTTTGGTGGAAAATAAATTGCTAAAAATTTCACATGGATTTGCATTAGATCCAAAAATTGTATTTAAATAGGCCAAAAGACTAGTGTCGATTTAAGTCTATTTCCTTGATAATGGCACATGTAGTCCAGAAATTTTAGAATTTGATGCAAACTCTCTTGGGACATAACCCATTCCTAGTAAGTCACCGGCTATTGTCACTGTTGTCACTAGGACTCAGAAGTGTTCATCCGAGTTTCGTAAATGTGTTGCTTAAAAGGCAGGACCTCAAAACTATGTTGGTTTATGCTACAGCGGTGTATTTTTTAAAAATCAGTATCTAAGGCCTTAGGACTTTAAAGAGGCCTAGACGTTTCTTCTGTTGGTCATACCAATTATGAGATAGTTGACAATAACTGAGACTAACTAGGAACAAGCTTCTACTACCACTGCCATTTTTGTGACCTAAAATGAATTTGGGACTCAGCCTTTTCTCTTCCCAGATAGCTACCACAGAAGCAAAGAAAAATTACTTCAGAATTGTCAATGTGGCAGGAATATATAAAGGGACTGACAGAATACAGAGGAGTGAGGCAAAAGGAGCCGGTTACTGTGACACTCAATCCAGAGACCCTGTCAGTGGCCACCTGCCGTCACAAGGTAGTGGCAGGAATGAAGGAATTCACGCGCAAGGACTGTGGAAAGGACAGAGCTCTAGATGAGGGCTGAGCACCATCTGTTTTGTCGCTTTGCTTGTCTGGGAGGGGGAAGAACTGGAAAGATAAAGTGCTGAAGAATAGGGCCTGAGTTGTGTTCTTGGAGGGCCTCCACACCATGAAGCGGCCACTTCTGGAAGAACAAAGAGTGAGGCTCACACAGCCTGCCTTACCCTAGCGTGGCCCTCGCACGTCCAGCAAGGAGCACGTGTTCCATTCAGGGCCTTTACAGCAGTGCAGCACATTGTGAGGTCCCTGCCTGCAGAGGAATAGTGGGAGCCTCTGTGAGGGGAGAATGCCTCACGGGGGTGTCCTGCTCTCCCAGGAGGGACCCCGGCCGACAGCGCTGTGTAGTCATCTCTCAGGAGAGCTGCTAATGCTCCCAGCTTAGCTCACTGCTGAGGAAGTAGCAGTGGTCCTTGTCCCCTGATGCGGAAGCCTCAGCGTCTCTTGAGCAGTAGGTGACCATACCTCCCAGCTTACCCAGGACAGTTGTGGTGTGGTCCTGTTGCCCCTGCGTAATTAACTAGCAGAGCTCCTTTCACATATCCCAATTTGAGCAATAAATAATATGGTCACTCTAGTTATAAGTCGATTTTTTAAGCATTTTTTTTGTTATCATACAAATGTTTTTCCAATTTCTCAAATCTGTAATACTTATTCAACCTGAATTGGGATTCCTGGGTGGCAGTTCTTATCAGAGGTACACTGAGTCTAATCTCATCTAGAGTTTTACTTCTTGCAGCTTAAGTAGAGCCCATAAAATGTGGAAGAAATAATTGCATGACACGGCCTTCTTAAAAAAAAAAAAGTTTTCTTATCCAACAATTATAATTTCAATTCCTTCACTTATATAGCAGCATTCTGACTTTTTTCTTTTGGTGGGATAAGATTTACAAGTGAAAATTTGCCAATTAAAGTTTTTCTAGAAAGATGAAGGAAAAGCATCTTTATCTCACAAGCTGTGTTTATCATCTAAACTAATATTTAATGTTTATTATCTTTGTAATTTGATGACCCAGAGAAATAATCAAATATTATCTTACAGTGTATTCACAGAGATGTAAAACCTGAAAATATTCTAATAACTAAGCAAGGAATAATCAAGATCTGTGACTTTGGGTTTGCACGAATTCTGAGTAAGTAGGAATTTTTCACTTACCTATCCAGTTCAGATGATTATGAAATGATACAAACTCTTACTTGTTTTAGATATTGAACAGATGCTAAATGTGACACTGTGATTATTCAAAGAGGAAAAGTTCACTTTTACCTTTTACCCAGTACCTTAATTCGCTCTGCAATTCCATTCCACTCCATTCCAGTCGAATTCACTGGATGTCATGTTTATGTGCTTTGCCTCACAAAGGAAAAGAATTATAAGATGCATTTCTGCTCTTCATGCACTTATAATCTGAAGTAAAAGAAACAAAATACAATACAAGATGGTTCACAATGAAGTACAAAAGCGAGGGTGAGGTGGTTCCTTGGAGGCAGACATTACTGTGTCCCAGAGACGTCAGGAAAACCCTGTGGGGTTCATAAGACTAGAAGACTAAGCGGAAAATTCTGGAGAGCCTTCAGAGACAGTGCTAAGATAAAGGAAGTCATTCCACACTGGTGGGGGGGGTGGGGGTTGGGAACCAAAGGGAAAAGGGAACAAATCATTATTCCTCCCTGAATCTAGAACTGTATGGGAGGCAAAAACCCACTGCAAGGTAGGTGTACACAACCACTACTCTGGCAGGACAGACACAGGGGGCTTCACAGTGCACCTGGAAGTTGGCTTCAACCTGAGGTTACACTACAGAAACCCTCACTCCTGCCCCCCCCTCTGGGTGGGCCAACACATGTGTTCACTAAGCCGAGGCACCCTTGGGAGTTGAGCTGACAGTCTGAGCGCACAGTGGAAGTATTTGGGCAGTTGGGCCTTTGCTGCCTCCAGAGTGAGGAGTGTTGTGGCCTTGGAGTTACTGAAGCTTGCCTGAATGCCTGACCTGCTCCACATGTCACAGGAATGTGACCCACCTGATCTGACTGACGCATTTGCAGTTCCAGGAGATGCCTACACTGATTACGTGGCGACACGGTGGTACCGAGCTCCGGAACTTCTTGTGGGAGACACGCAGTACGGTTCCTCCGTGGACGTATGGGCCGCTGGCTGTGTTTTTGCAGAGCTTCTGACAGGCCAGCCACTCTGGCCTGGAAAATCAGATGTGGACCAGCTTTATCTGATCATCAGAACACTGGGTAGGTGTTGCATTTTATGGCTTACAGAGCTGCTCAATTGTTAGAGAGATAGGACGTCACTGTACCGAACAAGAGCCTTCTTGCTTCTCCTAAGTGCTACTCGGTTGCTTGTGCTGGGTTGTTGCCAGAACCCAACCATTTTCTCCATGTGGAGTCATGATTCTGCTCAGCGAGTGGCTCTCAGGTGCCTTTTCGAGTCAAGTCAATTAGCCTTGGAATAACTATCCACTTACTTTCCATGTCAGGCTAAGACAGGGACAAGGATAGGAGTCATGTGCATAGAGCAGACTCAAAGAGATATTTGATCAAATGTCATTTCTGCCCACTGCAAAGGAGGGCTTTCCCCCCTTTACTCTAGAGCAGGAGTCAACAGACCTTCTACAAAGGGCCCAATGATAAATATTTTAGTTTTTGTAGGCTATACTGTCTCTGTTGCAACTTCTCAACTCTGCTACTTTGTACAGCACTTAAGAATTTATAAATTACTTTCACACACTTAATCTCTCCCAGTCTTAAGAAAAACCCATTAAGGATTATAATATTTTTAATTGTGCCTATGTTACAAGTGAGGAAACTGAGGCTCAGGGAGCTTCCATGATTGGCTTGAAGTCATATAAAAGTTAGATGCAGAGCAGGAATAGGACTCAAGGAATAGGACTCAAGGGCCCCTTCCATAAGCTTCCACCATGTGTCAGCATCCGTGGGCAGTTGAAAGAGGATGTGACCCAGAAGGTTGGCTGCAGCTTTACACGAAGCAGCACGGACACAAGGAAAGTGATACATTTACACACCCAATGGTATTTATTAATCCCTGCCCCAAGCCTATCCTGACAGCCCAACTCCTGGGCAATGGAAGCCCTGCTCTTTGGTCTGATGCTGGTCCCTGTTTGGTTCCAACACATTCTTTCCGAGAATTCTACAGCATGAAAAATGTAGGGTAGAGGATCACCACAGGCCACATGTTAAGTATATATTGTTTGACTGATTGCTGAAAAGGACTGTGGAAATTTACATTAAGCAGACATGAGACAGACCTGAGTTTGAATCCTGCATCTGTCCCTTAATGACCATGTGACTTTAACAGGTTATTGAACTTCTAAGCCTCATTTCGCTCATTAAAAATAGCAACTACTGTGAGATAGTTATGAGATCTGTTGTAAAGCCCTCAGCACGGTCTTCTTGCCTCATCTTCTGGCGGGAGCTGAGTGGCAGACCGAGCCACACATGGCAAAGAGAGTTGCATGGGAGGATCGCCCCTTCCCTGAGGAGCCTCGTTTTTGCAGTGACTTGCTCCTCCCAAATCTGGAAGTAATGATCAGGCTCAGTATTTCTTGTATATCTGGACTTCAGAAGTTAATCTTTTAAACATTTTCATTTTTATTAAATTTGTCATGAGTTACATGGTTTGTATTTTGCAGGAAAACTAATCCCAAGACATCAATCTATCTTCAAAAGTAACCAGTTTTTCCATGGCATCAGTATTCCTGAGCCAGAAGACATGGTAAACTGCTCAATCTTGGATATTTTATTATTTGTGTTGCAACTTTCTTTAAAGGGGTATTTTTTTTTAAGTATCTCTACTTTTGGCTCCTGTCTTCCTTCTAGCACATTGACACAGATCAAAGAAGTTGTATAAAACAGCATAAATTAACCAAGAGAATGCTTTAAAAATCTACTTGCCCTATCTAGTCAAAGATTAACTTAATGTTAAATTTGAAGTGGAGATATATTTAGTTCCTTACAAAAATACCTTGATCCTTTTAGTCAAAATACTCAGTACCTTTCCCTGAAGTAATTATCTACTGTTTAACAGTACTTACTGTAGTCTTCTTTATTTTGAAAACATGCATTCTCGATTTTTTTGGCTTATAAAACAAAGCTCAAGTCCATAAAAACAATTTCTTGGTAATGGATATTTTCAAGTGGAAAGTCATTCTACAAAATGATCTTCATTGTATCCAAAATCAAAACTCCAAACCGGCTTCTCCCTCTCCCTCTGCTTGTCATTCCCCCTGCTCACTCGCTCTCTCTCTCTCTCTGTCAAATAAATAAAATCTCTAAAAAATAAAATAAAATAAAGTACTGTTGTAGGATTTCAGGGACACTTGGAGCTCACATTTACCAAGCATCAATTGCAAGACATTGTGAAATTTAAAAAATAATTCCAGTTTTTGTCTTTTAAATCTTATACTATAGTGTAAAATTATATAAAAATAGAACTTTTAAAAAGTCCTTAAAAGGAATCATCTAACCTACTAGGGGAGGTCTTTCTCCAAAGTGTTCTTATTTCTAATATAGTCAGAATAAACATAACTTTGTTGTCATGTAAACTGAAATTCTTTATTTTGTTTTCTAGGAAACTCTTGAAGAAAAGTTCTCAGATGCTCATCCCATGTCTTTGAATTTCATGAAGGTACTTAAGAATCAATTATAACCATTGCTGCCTGCAAAATGTAGTAATTGTAGCTAGTAGCTCTGGGAGGGATTGACAACAGGGCAGATAATGCCAAGTAGTCACTGAAAATAATAAGGAACTATAAAATAATTATAGTTAAAGAACATCAGTAAGTGAAAGACTAATCTTTCTAACATATCCATTAAAACTAGTCAAAGACAGAAGAGTAAATTAGCATTTGCTGTCATGAACACTATTACTTCTTTTGCATTTATTAAGAAATTTAACTGTTAAGTCCGTAAATTTATGAGGATGAAGGTCTAGAACAGTACTGTCCAATATCGTAGTCAGTAGTTATATATTACTATTGAACACTTGAAATATGGCTAATTAGAATGAAGATGTACTAGATTTCTAAGAAAATTGCTATAATAAAGAATATTAAATATTTCACTCAGAAGTTTTATGATATTAATTACATGTTGAACTGATTACATTTTAGATACATTGGGTTAAATAAACTTTAAAATCATTATTTTAAAAAAATTGGTAGACCAGGCAAACTCAGAAACATGCAGACACCAGATATAGCTCTTTCACTAGGCCTGAAAGAAATAGTCAAACAAAGCACAAATTCTAATAAAAAGCAGAAGAAATTCACCTATGACTAGTCTGCCATTCATGCTTAACCAACTGTCCCATGCTAGAAGATGTGACTCTTAAAACCACTGTGGATACTGAAAGCTCTTACTGGGATACAGATGAAGATATCAGTAACAGTGTCTATTTTTAGCAACCAATTAAGTTCTATCTATAGCAGTGGTTTCCATATTATTCATCAAAATGACTACTCATCAAAATGGGCTTTTCAAAAATATACATTCCAGTATCTAACCTCAAGAGCTACAGAAGCAAAATCTCTGTATAGGACCTTGGAATTTGTATCTTTAAACATCCCCCTAGGTGATTATGATACACAGCCTAGCTCAGAAGTTACCTGATCTAGAAGGTAGAGCCACCTGGATGACCTAGAGTCCATTGTGTAGACTAGCCGTTGTGCTAGTGGTGGTCGCTGCCAAGGTGCTATCCAGGGTGCTGGATTCCTTTGGTCTGAGTCCTCCTGAAAGCCTGACGTCTGTACCCTCAGACAGCACTTACCAGAACTTTACTGGCCCTCAGCTGCCTTCTCTCTGTCTCCCTGCTCTGACCTACCTTAACCCAGCACTCTGCATGCCCTGTCCTAGAACTCCAGTTTCCCAGCCTTGTTCTGGACAGGCCGTTCTGACCCACCTGCACTTTAGCAAGACCTCCTGCGGTGAGGGTGTCTGTCTGTCCAGCACTGCAATCCCAACCCATTCTCAGGTGCCGGCCAAACCTTCTGCTGGTTACTCCTCTAACCAAGGACAGAGAAAACTTCCTGGAAGGCAATTCCAGGGCAGAAAAACTCCAAGGTCTAGGACAAACCCCCTGTCATTAGTTCCAAAGGTGAAGTGCCTTATTTGTCTGCCCAATTCTGGATGAAGCTAGTTTTGTCACTCAACCATTTGATTTATACCTGTAATGTCTGACCAGACCCAAGGATTCTCTAAGTGCATCAGGGGTTGCACTGCTGCATGGGTCACACCCTATCTCCTAGATTCCTGCTCCAGGCTAGATGAAGAAAGGCTTTCTTTCACTAATTGCAATTGAGACATCTTTAATAACAAATAAGACCCAGGTCCCATAACAGGTAGTCATCCCATGGGACTAGGGCATCATCTATGCAGGCATCTGCTCAAATGGGTGAAGTGCCAGCCAATGACAGTGCCAAAGCCAGTGGTGGCTTGGAGTAGCCAATCTACAGCAGAGCTTGTGTGTTTCTTTTTAGTAGGTTTTAAATGAGACAGCAGACACAGTATTATTTATTTCTCAGTTGCTTTCATAGCAGTAACATCTTATCACTCTCTCAGTTTAATCTGGCCAGAGAAGAAGTCTGTAGGCTCCTGGAAATATTTTTAAGGCTTTTCTGTGAAATCTGAAGTTTCAAGAAAAGGATCTTGACATGTACTTTGCAGTTCCAATTTCTTTCTTTTTTTTTTTTAAGGTTTTATTTATTTATTTGACAGAGAGAGATCACAAGTAGGCAGAGCAGCAGGCAGAGGGAAAGGGGGAAGCAGTCTCCCTGCTGAGCAGAGAGCCTGATACGGGGCTCGATCCCAAGACCCTGAGACCATGACCATGAGCCAAAGGTAGAGGCTTAACCAACTGAGCCACCCAGGTGCCCCCGCAGTTCCAATTTCTTATCCCTCATCTTAAAAACCTTTCTCTTGTTGGGGACACTCTGATCAGGGAACACCTCTGAAAATTCATCGGCCTCCTGGTGTATAGAAAGGTATTAATCTAGGCAGCCAATAACTCAGAAGCCTCAACTCCACCCAATTCATCTCATTACTTCTAGAACTGACAAAATAGGAGGTCATTCTCGCCCAGGTCCCATGGAACAGCTCAGCATTAGCAGCCTCTTTTTAGAATCTAAAAATGTTCTTTAAAGTAAAAACCAATAGGTATTTAATAGACTGTATTTCAATAGATTGAAAGCCCGTTAAAGAAAGTTGATGAATTCAACAAATTATTGGAAATTAAACTGATAGGACTTAGTTATAATTCAGATCTGGGGAGTAAGTAGAGGAGGGCCGCAACCATGAGATATCTGTTCCAGTTTCCTAGAGCTATTGTAACAAAGTACCACCAGCTGGGTGACTGCAAGCAACAGAAATTTATTCTCACAGTTCTGGAAACTAGAGGTCTCAAACCAAGGTGTTGATAGGTGTTGATGCTCTCTCTGAAGTCTTCAGGGTGGGTCCTTCCTGGCCTCTACCAGCTTCTGGTAGCTCCAGACATTCTTGAGCTTGTGAAAGCAGAACTTCAACTTCTGCTTCTGTCTTCTGGTGTTTTCTCTGTGTCTGTCTTTGCACTACCTTCTCTCTTATAAGAACACCATCCCATTGGGTTAGGGCCCAACCTGTTCCAGTATGATCTCATGTTAACAATTTACATTTGCAAAGACCCTATTTCCAAACAAGGTCAACATGATACAGTTCTGGGGCTTAGGGCTTCAACATGGTTTGGTGGGAACGCAAGTCAATCAGTAACAGTGCCCTTGAGATAGAACTGTTAAGTAGACCACAGCATATGTGGGTCTGGAGTTCAAAGGAGAGGTCTGGACTAGAAATATACATGTGGAAGTCTCTGATAAACCTTAGTAATTGAAGACTTAAGAATCAGTGAGATTATCTGGAAACAGAGAGGAGAAAGGAGAACCTAGGACTGAGCCTGGAGGAGTCCCACCCACCCACTGTAAAGAAGAAGGTAAACTAACACAGGCTGGTTTGAGAAGGGGTGGTCACGAGGTAAGAAGAAGGAAAGGGAGGCATCAAGAAGCCAAAGGGAGATTCAAGGAGGAGGATGTGGTCAGTAGTGTCTAACATTGTGGAGATGAGAACATGATCTACCCACTGGATGTATGAATATGGAAGTCTAGGTATGAATAACAGAAGTCACTTAAGTGGAATGATGGAGGCAAAAGCCAGAACAGAGTGATGAAGAAATAGACTACCACAGTTTATACACAGAATCTTTGAATATAAGTCTTTCTGTGCTGGTTATAGTCCCGACAGTGTTAGGGTTTGAGGAGACAGACCCCAGTAGCAGTTATACTTAATTCTGGTAGGGATCATCAACATGGGCGTGGGTGGGACCTGCTTGGAGCAGGCGGCAGCTCTGGAGGGACAAGTGAACTTGAGTATGCCGAGCAGGACTGTTTCCTAAAACCAGGTCTAATCAGACATGGCTCTAAGGGGCAGGTGAGACTGTAGGGGTGGTGGCATTCGCAAGGGTCTCAGAGACCTGTCAGCTGGGGTTAGGGAGGCCCAGACACCACAGGGCAGCCGTGGCTGGGGCAGCCACAGTCGGCATAATTATCTGGACACCCAAATGCCTCAAAAATAAGTCTGTTATGTTGTAAGTGTTAATTCTCTATTATGGTCATAAGGCAAGAAATTTCAGGGCTCCTGTGCCTGGATGTTCTAAGGCGGTTCTAATTCCTTAGGGATCACGATCTTTCTCCATGGGAAAAGCCCCATTCTCGGGCCAAAGAGTATCAGGGCTTCTTGAAAATCTCTGCGACAGGATTCCACCAACCCTGCTGCTGCCAGAGTCCTCCCCTCTCTTGGAGGCAAAGCTAGAGGCTTGCAGTAGTCTCTAATATAAAGGGTCATGATGCTACCTTTTCCTTTTTGCCTCTAGTTATTCTTATATAAATATATACCAATTATCCAGGTTTTAGATTTGTTTCATTATGAAGACTTTATTTTTTTAATTTTTTAAAAGGTTTTATGTATTTATTAGACAAAGATCACAAGTAAGCAGAGAGGCAGGCAGACAGAGAGAGGAGGAAGCAGGCTCCCCACTGAGCAGTGAGGCTTAACCCACTGAGGCTCAGAGGCTTAACCCACGGAGCCACCCAGGCGCCCCGATTATGAAGACTTTAAAGACAGATACTTTAGCCATCTCCCTAAACCGGTGGTTCTCAAACTTGAGCAGGTATCAGAATCACCCAGAGAGCTTATCAAATGCAGACTGGTGGGCTCCCACCCCAGTGCTTTTGATGGAGCAGGAACTGCATTTACAAGAAGTTGCTCCAGAATGCTAATGCAGCTGGTCCTGGGATCACACCCAGTATCACACTTAAAGTGTCCCACAAACTATTTGCTTTGACAAGTAGTGAAAAGATGTCATTGGTAGAAACACCTGATCTATGGGATGCCTGGGTGGCTCAGTTAAGCATCTGCCTTTGGCTCAGGTCATGATCTCAGGGTCCTGGGATCACATCCCATATCAGGCTCCGTGCTCAGCAGGGAGTCATTTCCTCCTTCTGCCTCTGCCTGCCACTCCCCCTGCTTGTGCTCTGTATCTCTCTCTTTCTCTCTGACAAATCAAGTCTTTGAAGAAAAAAAAAAAGGAAAGAAACACCTGCTGTACTTGTAGCCCCCTTCCAGAGACATTGAATATTCAATTCCACCCTCAAGACTTTGAATGGCAAAAACAAAAAAAGTAATTATAGTTATTAACGAGTTTCAAGTACTTGATAATATACAAACCTGAAAATTTTCTTTTTTTTTAAGATTTTATTTATTTGACAGACAGAGATCACAAGTAGGCAGAGAAGCAGGCAGAGAGAGGGGGAAGCAGGCTCCCTGCTGAGCAGAGAGCCCAATGCGGGGCTCAATCCCAAGACCCTGAGATCATGACCTGAGCCGAAGGCAGAGGCTTAACCCACTGAGCCACCCAGGCACCCCAAACCTGAAAATTTTCTAAGCTCATATTTGTTCTAACAAGTTATTCAGTTTCAGGTCATAGTAACAAAAAAAAAACAAAAACAGGCCGCTCTTTTCACACTTTATTTTTTTCCAAAGGAGTGTCTAAAGATGAATCCTGATGACAGATTAACCTGTGCCCAACTCCTGGAGAGCCCCTACTTTGATTCTTTTCATGAAGACCAAATTAAAAGAAAAGCACGTACTGAAGGAAGAAACAGAAGACGCCAGCAGGTACCTCTGTTCAAAAGTTAAAGCGCTATAAAAATTATTCTTTTTTTTTTTCTTTTTCTGCCTTTCAAAGTGAGACTAGATGGACACCAAGACCTTTCTTTGCACTGGGTTAGTTGTATTTGTTTATCTTAATAAATTTTGGTGATTGATGTAATAAAACCATAAAAACTATGAAAATATACAAATTTGTTGCAAAATCTTATTCCAAATATACTTGAATCAAAGTATTGCTCAACTTTTTGCTATGCTGATTGGATAGTTCACCTGCCAGATCACGGACGCAAAATACAGCAACTTCATACAATAAAACCCCCCAAAACAGCAGGACTGAGTTTGAATGTTACCAAGGAATTCCAGGACCCTCTGTCGCCTCCAGACACACCATAAAGAAAACTCAACTCTTCCCTTCTTCTTACTGATGGCAGGCACCTAAGCCTGCCTTCCCTAGGCTTTTCCTCAAAAACCAAGGACAAGCTCTGGCAGATACTAAGAGATGAAACTCAAAGGTCTGAGAACCAAATTCTATCCTAAAATGTAGCCAATATCAACATCATAGAACAACATGATGAATATGACAAGCCTTGATTCTGCAGTTTCTCGGTTTACTATTGCTTTACTTGGTTTCAGAAAAACTTTGAAATTAAAACATAAGCCCCATGGAAGTAGATTTGTTTTGGTTTGGGTGTTACTTTTTATCTTGTGTCCCAGCACCTAAAACAGTGTCTGACCTATAGAAGGTACTCAGTAAATATTATCCAAATAAATAGCTGAACGCTGCTTATTAATAAAAAAAAAAATGTAACTTTCAAGTTAGCAGACGGACAATCATCCCATTCTGTTTGCTTCAGGGTCCACCTTGGATCTACTTATTGGTCATTTATCTTCTTATTAGCATGTCTACCATAAAGGAAGAAAGCAGGGGTTTATTTTTCAACCTTTTGATCATTAAAATCAAAGTTTATTGAGAAAGATCAAATTAATAAGATGACATGTTAAGATGATTTTCAAATTTTTACTACATAGACCATTTTATCTTCTACTGTTTTAAGTTATGTGTTTGCAGGTCAAACCCAATGCGCTTTGCTTAACCAAAAGATTAGGGTTTGCTCAAGTAAGTCTGAGCCAGCTGTTCGAAATGCAGGGTGAGCTGTGTGTAAAAACACTGTCCCCTTGGAAACATCTCACCAGATTCCCCATGCTCGGCCTGGGAGGGTGAACAGCAGCACTGCCCCATCCTGCCCCTAGGTTCCTAATGGCCGTTCTCCCAGCCTGGCCTGGAGGGTGGGGTGGAGAATGCTGCCCTTCCTGTAAGTCTGGAGACTTACACAGCTGTGTTCCCCATTCCTTAAAACCCGGTAGCCCAGCTGATACAGTTCAGGGACTTTATTTCTCCCAAAGGAAAAGGAGCACAAAGAGCAGCATAGACCTAAATAATCTCATTTACAGAACTTAGGTCATGTTATCTGTCCTTAGTCAACTGCATCCTGTCCCCACTTCATGAGGAAGACTTACTAGAGCCCCCACCATTGAGACCATGCCTAACCCTCTCCCGCCACCAGGTGAACTCTCTGGAGAGCAAGGCCAAGAGGAAGGCAGGGATGTCTTTCAGGTTCTGGTTTTCTTTCAAAACATGGGCCTCTTCCCTAAACGTTTTACCGTTATCAGAAAATAAACTAAAAATTCAAAAAGATCTTTTCATCCAATGTGCTTTCACTTTGTGAGTTCAAATTCCCCCCTGGATACCAACTTCTAGATCTCTGAGTGAGTAACCCAACAATTTCCTTAACACTAAATATTGTTTAGTATTGTTAGTAAAGAGGTATTAAATCTTTACTGTTTTGCCAAATATCCTAAAATTAATAATTTAAGATAGGTAGAATGTAGATGCTCAGAAATTATTGTCTAATAGCTGGTGGGTATCTAGCTTTTAAACACTGACTAGATACTCAGAAAAGAACATTCTGAAATAAATCAACTATATCCATGAGAATCCTAGAATAAGTAATAGAACCTAATTTTCAAGTATCAGCATATCACAATTTTAGGAAAGGTAACCCTGCTTGATTTTTAAATTGATCTCTTCTGACATCTTTGTATCATATGTATCCTTTTTGTTTTACCATCATTAAATCAAACTATACAAATAGGAGTTCTTTTCCATTTACTTTCTTATTTTTGTCTTGTTCTGCTATTAGAATCAACTGTTGCCTCTCATACCAGGAAGCCACATCTCCCCCACACCTGATGGAAGAAAACAAGTCCTCCAGTTAAAATTTGATCATCTTCCAAACATTTAGGAAAATGTTCTTTCAAGTGGAAAGTAATTTAATATGTACACATTTTTGTACAAGAGAGATAGGGATTCTCAGTGTTTCAAATGCAAATGAGCCATATGAAAATTAAGATGCCTTCTAGAATTGTTTTGCTCTGATCATTACTGATTCCTCTGCCCATGCTTTTTACATGCCAACTTTATCTTTTAGAACATTTTCTTTAAATGTTAGAGTCTGAAACTGCACATATGGAGGAGACATTTTCCATTTCATCAGAGCAGCCCTTCCAGAGGCAATTTAGAGAATTTGTGGGCCTGTACGTTGATTTTTGGAAAAGAGTTACATATGTCATTTTGGTTTACCTGACTACATAATGTCTTAGAGCATTACCAAATAGCTTGCCTAACTATTGTTTGTATAAGGAATGACATTATGTTTCTGCATTTTAATTCATAGTTATTGTAACCAGGTCTGTTGAGTAATGCTGGATTTTATATTGGTGTAGGAAGGGAACCTGGAAATGTCATGTAGGTTTATCCCTCGATTCCAGGGAAGACTCTACTTTCTCTGTCTCATGAGACATTGATGATTCCAATTTTAAAGCAAGCCAGAGAAAATTCCATACATTTACATAGCAAATAAGGAACTACGAGGAATTACCATCCTCAGAACATAATACCCTGTGATAATTGACTGCTGACTCTAATGCTGTCCTTTAGAACATCGTGGTTTCTTTTTCTTTTTCCTGGCTTGATCACCTCAGTGTCTAGATATATCCTGTTGGGTGTATGTCCTAAATATTTGGTTCAAGGTCAATACACTTCCAAACATTTGAATCCATAGCCTCTGTGAACTTGTGCAGCCCTAAACTTGTGTATCATGATCAGATCAGGTTTATAAATGCTTCCAACAGCAAAAAGATTATCTTTCAGTTACCTTCTTTGTGTCTCCTACCAAAAAAAAGAAGCAAACAAACAAAACACCACAATAGGTGAGCCCAGTTTACACTGGGATATTTTCTCGAGTAAACCTGACAGATACACCTACATATACACATATGTACCCATCTATATATATATATATATATATATATATGTTTATAATTAAAAGTTTTGAAACAACATAGTAGATGCCTTTTATCCTAGACATGGAAGAATGGTGCAGTCTGTTTAAAGGGCTTTTCGTTTGCTAGCAAGGAACTCATGTAAAATAATATGGGGTTGTCTATCGCTGTCTGGCATAAAGGCACAAAATAGTGATGTTTCAATAAATATTAAGATTATTGCATTAACTCTTTTCTGCTCCTGGGTCTGGCATGCTTACCCGAACGTTGTTAAATTTTGCAAATACACGTAATTCCAAGAAACACCAGCTATCTCCCACCTACACCAAGCATAAATTGTTTTTAGGAAAACACAGTACCATCTTCTGTTCACCTCTAAAAGTTTATTGCACCTATAAACAGGGCCATGGAAACTTCTAGAGAATCTTCAGTAATTTGGGAGGAGCATCTCTTTACTTAGGAATTACGGTATCTCAACAATAGTTTCCTGCTCACTGGAATGATGTTCTAAGTGGGCTTATTTGGCCATTTAACACGCTTAGTGTGACTATAAGCTTCTAAGGTGGTCTTCTTGTCATCTTATCATCAAGAATGTGCCTCTTCAGATTTGTATGTTTCTCGCATTTTTAATTAAATGAGGCCACAGGAACAAGGAAAATGAGAAATAAAAGACAAAAGGCAACTTTGCTGAAACATTTTTTTTTAACTTTCATAGTGTTTTTTTACCAGGTAAGCCTTCTCATTGCCAGGCTACTCCTCCTGCTCCAGCTCTCCTGTGTATCTACATAACACACACACGCACACGTAGAAATTCAGAATACAGCACACAACTCCACTTCCCATTTTGCTTATAATCATGCTTCAGACAGCGATGGACTTTTTGGCAAGGGTTGATAGGGTGACTGTCTTTCCTTATTTTTGCTTACATTTAAGAACTAACGCAAACTGGCATTTTTCTCTCTCAATTTTTTTTTCCATAGACAAATCCATCATTTAGAGATCACGGGGTGGGCGGGGCAGCAGGGGGAGAAAGCATCTAATGCTTTAGGAAAATGCTCTGCTGCAGTCCTTTTACCATGAAGAAAATCATCTGAGTAACACTTGCACATTGGCCCTTTCCCTGGGCAACCGGCCTCTGAACCACACAAGCCCACAGACCTCAACCTGCAACTCTACTCTGATTGAAGTACCTGTTTCTCACTTCGGAGCTGCACACAAACTCCCTTGCATTTCTCAGCCACACAGAAGACAGCTGTGCTGGAACATCTAGTGCCCAAATTAAGTACTGACTTCTGTGAACCCTATCAGGCTCTTTACAGAAGCCCACACAATTCTGTAACCACGTGTTTCCTTTACATCCTAGTAAGGTTTCTGGCTCACTTGTGACTTGTCTCACCCATGCCAGCTTCCAGGCTTTTAAATTTATTATATACAGCTCTTTCCTGCTGCCATCCAAATACTGCGCCATCGTGGTAAGCGGCACCACCTGAATGCACCCCTTCTCTCCACCCCGGGCGTGATCTCTTCACACCCTGATTTCCCCCGACTTATCACATTGTACCTGAGAATCTCCAAGCAGTTCGTTTTGTTATTTTTGTTTTGTTTTTAGAGCACTTTATAGAGAACCGAAAATGTAGACTTTAGTTCTTTGTGCTTCTGCTGCTTCTTCAGGGAAGAAGGAAATAACACCACAGAAAAGGACATTTCATTAGACCTTTATCAGCCCTGGAAGGCTATTTGCTGGGACTCTGCCTTTGAACTCCCTTTCAGTCCTAGTGATATTTGGATGCACTTATTCCATTTGCCCCCAACCACAAAGCCCTTCGAGGGGGCCACTTTGTTTTTAAAATTTTATTTATTTGGGAGAGGGAGAGAGCACAAACAGGGGGAGCAGCAGAGGGAGAAGGAGAACCAGGCTCCCCGCTGAGCAGGGTGCTCAATGCAGGGCTCACTCCCAGGACCCCAGGATCATGACCTGAGCCGAAGGCAGGTGCTTAACCGACTGAGCCACCCAGGTGCCCCATGGATTCACTTTTTGAAGATTATTTTAACTAGACTGAATGATTAAAAAGTTGTATTCAGGAGGCTTTTCCTGCTTTGGCTTAGGGAGATAACTGAAGAAGGGGTGCAAAGAAAGTTCTCGAACAGGAAAGAAAGAGATGAGCAGAGAGCAGATTATCCCCCTTCTCAGTCAGCCATATCACTGCTCCTCATTGCTCCTGAAGATCTCCCAACTCTAAGACCTAAGAAAATTAATGTTATTTTGAAAAAATTCTCGACTCTGAAGATTTGTTACGGTTCTTTAGCTTACTTGTCATAGAATTCTAGTTTTTCAAAAAGATGGTATTTTCTTAATCATTTGTCACCACCAATGACTTCCATTCCTGGTTTTGGAACAACCTGAATGGCACAGAATTCTCAAAACAAAAAAAAAACAAAACAATACAACAACAACAACAACAGCGAAAAGACCAAAAATCTCTTTTTGTTAATTAAAACATACTACCAAACTACCAGAAGAGGAATGATCCTACAACTGCACAAACCTTAAAATCTTGAAAAAACTGGGGAGTCAGTATAAGATATTAGCTGAATCAGATTCTGATTTATAATGTATATGTATGCATTACATATAAATTTGTGATGCATGCAATTAAAACAAAGAAAAAAATGCCATACAATAATAAGGTAATGTTTGGGGGGAGGTGTATGTAAGTGTGTATGAGTGTGGGTGTTTGTTTTCTATTAAAATCATGAACTCAACAACTTCATTCTTGTTCTGGTAGAAGACAAAGTATGAGTGGTAGGTTAAGGAATAATAGACTTAGCATTTGGTCTGGGCGTTAGGACACCAGGTTCTTGACTGGCTTACAATTCTCCGTGTAGCCTTGTCACAATGTGTAACTGTTCTGTGCCTTCATTTTCTCATTTGAAAAGTAGAAGAGATAAGTTAGGTGTTTTCTAGGGCTCCCATTCAGCTGTGGATTTCTGTGATTCTCCAAAGCACATGGCATATCTGTGCTGGACGTTACTCCCATTAGAAGAGGCTTTCCAGAGATTGTTTTTCATTAACAACAGCAAGATAGATTTTGGGTTTTATGATCTAACCAGGGGCTAGATGGATCTCTCTCTCTCTCTCCCCCTGCCTCCCTGTCTCTCATCTCTCCCTCGATTGCTTGCTTTCACACTCACACAAACACACACACAACCACTCCCTCCTAGTCCTATCACTTCAACAGTAGTTTGCAGACAACTGTCTAGTGGAGGTTCCATTTTATAAATTTATAAATTTTATAAACTAAAGTGGATTTTAAAGCTAATTGTCACTAAATTTTAATTAATGTAAATAAAACAGGTGTGCTTTTAAAATGCAGAGTAATATGTAATCATTCTTTGAAGTTTTAATCTAACTCTAATTAGCTGGGAAATGACACATATGCTGTGAAACACTAATTTAAGATATCCATTAAGGCAAAGAACATTGAGGACATTTCTAACTTCAACAAAACTTTTAATGCTTTCAGTAAATGGTAACTTAAGGGAATTCTACAAATGTATCTGAATTATACTCGTTTTATATTTGAGTAGCAGAGACTCAGTTTCAGTCTACTTTATATTTAACCTGTAATCTACTCAAGCTGAGAATTGGTTATCCTACTTAATAGGAGTAGAAACAACTTGTATTTATTAAAGTTAAAATTTTCTTTTCTGTTGTGAACACTTGTCACTGACCATGTCTCTCAATACTGTCACATTGAAGATGTTGTGTCTACTTAGGATTTTAGAATATATTAGTATAGAAGCAGGTCTATTACAAATCACATGAAACTGTAGCTGTAATATTAATTAGCACACAATAATTAGCATAACAGCAACTTAAACTATAAAAACAATTCACTACAAAGCAGTTTTAGTTATTATTATGTTAAATATACACAATATTTTTAAAATTTAGCTTCAGATATTTATAAAACCTAAATATGGGCTTAAATACTTTGGTGATCTTATATTTGTGTATATAACTTAACCTGAATACGTTCTTTAGCTTATTTTAATAAAAGTTAGAAATATTTCTGTCTCCTTATTTCTATTCAACTCACCTCTTAGTCCATTGCCATATACTTTGTATTTAAATGAGAAAAACTGTCGTATTCACATATTCAGAACTTGTGGGACGCCTGGGTGGTTCAGTCGGTTAAGTGTCTGCCTTTGGCCTGGGTCATGGTCCCGGGGTCCGGGGATCAAGTCCCTCATCAGGCTCCCTGTTCGGCGGGGGGCCCACTTGCTTCTCCCTCTGCCTACTTCTCCCTCTGCTTGTGCTCTCTCTCTCTTTCTCTCTCTCTCTGACAAATAATCTTTAAAAATAAATTTAAAAAATTTTTTTCAGAACTTATTTCATTTCCTCCCAGTTGGACTATATGAACAGTTGATACAGCACCTCTTCCTTTTTGTGTCTTAGGTTGGCAATTTTCACAAACAGAAAAACTAAGAAAATCTTTTCCAGTCCAACCCAGTAGATGTTTATCCCCAAGAACATTTACTTTGAAGTTGTTAAGTTTCTTTTTCTTCCAACTCATCAAAATAT